TGCAGTCGACATGAGGAGACACAAAATTGTTGACAACATCACGACGTTACAGATACATGGGGTTGTTGAACGCTCCAATATAATCTCTGGCGTCAAACCATACATTGCTTCGGACAACAACTTTGGTAAAATCATTGACAAATTTCCTAAGTTAACGATGCCTGTCAACAACAACAAAAATGAAAACAAGATACAACACCACATTGTGACTTCTGGACCACCACATCATACGGCCCCACAACGATTGCACCCAGAGAAGTTGCGAGCCGCCAAAGCCGAATTCGAATACATGTGTCAACTCGGAATCATAAGACCGTCAAACAGTCCTTGGGCATCCCCACTTCATATGGTTGCAAAGTCATCAGAAGATTGGAGGCCTTGTGGAGATTACTGCGCACTCAACAACAGGACCACACCTGATCGATATCCAGTTCCACACATCCATGATATCGCTCACAGTCTGGAACAGGTGCAATGGTTTACGAGGCTAGATCTCGTACGGGCTTACCACCAGATACCGGTGGCAGAAGAAGATATCCAAAAAACAGCGGTGACAACACCGTTTGGTTTGTTTGAATTTTTGAAGATGCCGTTCGGGCTGAGAAATGCCGCACAGACTTTTCAAAGGTTCATCGATAGTGTTTTGAGAGGGCTACCTTTTGTCCACGCATACATTGACGACATACTAATAGCCAGCAAAACCCTCAAAGAACACAGAAGCCATGTAGAACAAGTCCTTCAACGACTGCAAGACAGCAGACTAACCATCAACCCATCCAAATGCGAATGGGCCAAATCATCCACAACATTCCTGGGGCATCAACTCGACAGTGAAGACATTAGACCCCTCGACAACAAAGTACAGGCAATCATCAATTTTGCTGAACCAACGACTGACAAGCAACTACGCCGATTCATCTGAATGATCAATTTTTACCGTCGATTCATCCCTAAATGCTCAACGATATTGTCACCTCTCGCTGACATTTTAACTGGCAAATCGAAAACCATAAAATTTAACGAAGGGCAGCAACAAAGTTTTAGAGAGGCCAAACAGGCATTACTAGCGGCAACCAAGTTATGGTACGTTCAAGAGAAAGGCACCTTTCAACTTTTCACAGACGCTTCAGACGTTGCTGCGGGAGCAGTACTAGAACAGAAAAGTCAGGGGATTGCAAGACCTATAGCCTTTTTTTCGCAAAAATTTAACCCAACCAGACCCGCTACAGTACATTTGGTCGAGAACTGCTGGCAGTGTATTCAGCTGTCCGCTTTTTTCAACACTTCCTCGAAGGTCGAGAGTTTACCATATTCACTGATCATAAACCATTGACGTTTGCTTTACGTTCAGATTCAAGTCGTTTAACACCAAGAGAGATCAGACACCTGGATTACATCTCACAGTTCACAACAGACATTTGACACGTGAAAGGAGAAAACAACGTTGTGGCTGATGCGTTATCACGTACAGAGGTAGCCACGATAACGCCAACAGCAATTAACCTGGAGGAGATGTCGAAAGAACAGGAGGACGATGCAACACTCCTTGACAACACAGACTCACTAAAAATCAGCATAATTCCAGTCAACAACTCAGAAAACAATATCGTCGTCAACACCTCGTTAGGCACCCCTCGTCCTCTAGTTCCAACAAGCATGCGGAAATCAGTTTTTCTGAATTTCCATTCCCTGTCACATCCAGAAGCGAAAGCAACATCAAAATTAATTAGAGCCAGGTATGTTTGGCCCCACATTGATAAAGACAGCCGTAACTGGTGCAGAGAGTGCAATGTCAACGCAGCAAAGTACATCGACATACAGCTTCACGTCCAGCAGAATTCCCTCCAAGCAGCAGGTTTCAGCATGTACACATCGATTTAGTCGGACCAATGTCTTCATCAGATGGACACACACACATTTTAACGTGTCGATCGTTTCACCAGATGGCCAGTAGCAATCCCCATCAAAAATACTCTAACGGAAACAATAGTAGATAAATTATTTTCAAACTGGATTTCGTTGTATGGAGTCTCAGAAACCATTACAACAGACAGAGGCAGCCAGTTCACATCTTTTTCTTTCAAGAGATTCACCCAGTTACTAAACATTAAACATATTCACACCACCGCCTACCACCCAGCAGCCAACGGTATGGTGGAACAAATGCATAGACAGCTTAAGGCCTCACTTATGGCTCACGGTTCAGACAAATGGACGGATGTATTACCAGTGACACTATTAGGCATTCGTGTAACGGAGAAGGAAGACCTAAAGTTGTCACCAGCAGAACTTGTTTACGGCACAACACTCCGCCTTCCCGGAGATTTTCCAAACCCACGGCCAGAGACAACCGATGTACACAGCTATGCATTAAAACTCAAATGCTGGACGGAGACCCTAAAAGCAACACAACCAAGAACAAGTACAAATGTGAGTTACATTCCAAAAGACCTCTTCACTACAGAACAGGTCTGTATTCGTACGGATGCTCACTGCTCGCCACTACAACCTCCATACGAGGGACCCTACACACCCAAAATATTTCGTCATTGACAAAAAGGGGCATAGGGACACGGTGGCAATAGACCGCCTCAAACCCGCATACTCACCGGCACCATCAATACCGTCACCCATGCCAACGACCACAGCGCCGACACCACCTTCTACAACACCTTCAACAAAATTCCGTCGTCGAACGACACATCAGCATCAACAAAAACGTCAACGCTATCTCCATCAACGGACGAGGACATGCCAACAACAGAAACATCTACGTCGACACAAGCACACCCAAATCGATCCATCGACACCAACATTCCATCACCCCGGAGAACCACAAAATCGGGAAGAACAGTTCACCTCCCATCTCGATATCTTGATTAGCATCGATCAACAGCTTGCGCTGATGATCTGGTAGGGAAATATTGTTGAACCACACATCCCTAATCTAAGCATGTGACGAATTACTATATATAGCTTCAACACAAAGACAACAGCCCTTCTTCTTGCGACATTTTACGATTGAACTTCTCTTTGTCTAATTGCATTGCCGAACACGTTTTCATTTATTATGTATTAGATAAATAAATACGTTATAAACATTCTTACTTGTTGTTTCTTATATCTAAAGAAACTCGCAACAACATTGCAAACACTTGGGTGCCTTATGAAGTGTCGACGATGATATTGTTTTTGGAGTTGTTGACTGGAATTATGCTGATTTTTAGTGAGTCTGTGCTGTTGAGGAGTGTTGTATTATCGTACTGTTCTTCCTATCATCTCATCGAAATTTATTGCTTTTGTCGTTCTCTTTTCATTACTAAATGCCTAACGATATTGTAACCTTTCACTTACATTTTAACTGGCAAATCAAAAACCTTAAAACTCAACGATGTTCAAAAACAAAGTTTTAGATGCCAAGCAGGCATTACAAGCGGCAACTAAGTTGTGGTGTGTTCAAGAGAAAGGTAACTTTCAACTATTCACCGACGCTTCAAACGTTGCTGCGCTGTACTAGAACAGAAAAGTTACGAGATTGTGACGCTTTGTGACCCATTGCTTTCTTCTCACAAAAGTTTAATCCAGCACAGACCCGCGACAGCACATTTGGTCAGGAACAGCTGGCAGTGTATTCAGCTATTCGTCATTTTCAACATTTCCTCAAGGGTCGACAGTTTACAATATTCACTGACCACAAACCACTGACATTCGCCTTATATTCCAATTCAAATCGACTAACACCAAGAGAGATCAGACACCTTGATTACATCTCACAGTTCACAACAGGCATTCGACCCGTGAAAGGAGAAGACAACGTCGTGGCTGATGCGTTATCACGCACAGAGGTAGCCACGATAACGTCAAAAGCAATAAATCTCGATGAGATGTCGAAAGAACAGGACGATGGATACCACACTTCTCGACAGCACAAACCCAAATACAGACTGCAAACCGCACCACCATCGACATTTTTGGCAAATTCGTAACCATTGACCTTGGTCTACAACGAAAATTTCAATGGATTTTTATCATTGCCAACGTCACACAGGCAATATTGGGCGCTGACATTGTCACATTTTAATATTACAGTCGACACGAAGAGACAAAATTTTCGACTATGTCAATACGCTACAAGTACAAGGGGTTGTCGAACGCTCCAATACCATCCCGGGCGTCAAGCCGTACATGGTGTCAGACAGCAACATTAGCAAAATTATCGACAAGTTTCCTAAACTAACGATGCTAGTCAATAGCAACAACCAAAATCAAAACAAGATACAAGACCACATTGTAACTACTGAATCACCACATCATACAGTCTCACGATGATTGTATCCAGAGAAGTTACGAGCGGCCAAAGCCGAGTTCAAACACGTTTCAGCTCGGAATCATTAGACCGTCAAACTGTCCTTGAGCATCACAACTTGATATGTTGGCAAAATCATCAGGGGTTTGACACCATGCAGAGACTACCGGGCTTTCAACAACGTTACCATACCTGATCGATATCCGGTTCTACAAATTCACGATATCATTCACAGTCTGGAATGGGTGCGGTAGTTTACGAGATTAGATCTAGTACGAGCTTACCACCAGATCCCAGTGGCAGAAGAAGATATTTATAGCAACTCGTCACATGCCTAAAATATGGATGTGCGGTCCAACAGCATGACAATCGGGACCAAAGTAATACTCCTCTCCATTAATCAATCCAAATCTTTGCTTCCTAACCACTCGTGGTGAAAATTGCTTTAAAAAGGTTGACGTAGAGAAGCAAGGGGAAATTAAATAAATCATTTAAATAATAAAAATAAAAAATAATTATGTTCATGTAGAAAATAGTAATTATTAAGTGTTTTTAAAATGTATATTTAACGGTCGGTATATGAAAGTGGTTAGAACAAGTAAACATTGAAAACATTCAGGCAAAAAAGTTTATTACGAAAATTTTTTAAACCATAAAAACATCAATTATGAAAGCAAATTAAAAGCATGCTTAATTATCTCTTGAACCTTTTATTTTTACAAAATTCCTTTTGGATATTTTTTCGCAAGTAATTGGTATTATTGCTCCTTTTTCTGTGAATTCGATGCTTTTTGCTCCAAACTTTTTCGTTTCCTTCTTCCCATTTCATTTGTTTCAACACTAAAAATTTAAAAAATCAACTTAAAAATAGTAAAATGTAAAAAAAGATCTCAAAAAACATGTTTTATGGATGCGTATTACACCAAAAATTGTGTTTTTGTTAAAATTTAAACTTAATTAAAAAACCTTTATCAGTATATCTTCCCAGAGTTTGGTCATCAATATCCTCATTGTCCTCATTATTACTTGACTCTTCGTCTGAACTTTCTATTTCTCTTAAATATTCTCCAGCAGCTTGCACTTTATCATTACTCTCATCTTCATCCATTAAAGTTTCATTATCGATGTCACTAGCAATTAAATCTTTGAATTCATCTTTAAAATCCTTCCCAAAGTCAACTTCTTCTTCATCAAATTTTCCATCATCATCAATATCTTCATCGTCATCAACACAGTCTTCTTCTTGATCTGCAACCTGACAATCCTCGCTCTCTGCTATATCACAATTTTCGCTTTCCAATCTGAAACAAATTAACAACCATTTATTAATCTAACAACGTTTATTGTCATATCAAATTTGTAGTCACAGCAAATTATGGACCCTAATTTATTACAAATATTGAAATCTTACTTAATGGATTCTTTCAATGGCTGGTTTTCTGGAAAAAGTGTAACATTTTCAAAATATAGGTTTACTAAGTTGATTTAATAACGTTTTATAGCATCTAGGAATAAATCTGTTTAGCCTAAAAAAGTTTGTTTGTTGGTACATGCACAATATACACACCAAAACTTGATTAACTATGCGCAACAATATAGTAAATAAATACTTCCTTATACATATTTGTTGTTCATTAAATGTAATTTATAAAAAAATTACCATGCACATAAACTAACCATTAGGTCCCTCGTGCACTTTTTTTGGATTTTTGCATATAAATCGGTCGAGGAATTTTTTGAAAGCGTAATTTTCAAGAGGATCACCAGAGTAATCAATTTTTTCTCCCTTTTATGGTTGAATTATCATAACAAATAAAAATGTGAAATCGTGATGAATATAAACATAAACACATATAAGAGAGTATATTTTGTATAATATTTTGTATATTTTTGTTATGTATGCCAAACTTTATCTCGGTTTAAGTTTTCTGTTCCGAAATTAGTCGTTTTACTTTATAAGAAAACAATATATAAAAAAAACAAGAGCGTAATGGTTCAATGGTTGGAGCACCTAGTCCAGCGTGGTGACTAATAAATCAATCAATCAATCTTCGTTTTGCGTCCAGAGACCCGGTTTCCCGAGGTAGGACGTTGTATTCTTTGCCATCAACTTTTTACGCCAAATTAGACGATCAGTTGTATCCATTTCATTTAAATTTAGAGCTTTCATGACTTGCTCGATTGTTTGCGACCAGGACTTCTTTGGACGGCCTTTGGGACGTGTGTCATATACTTCAACATCTGCAAGAGAAGTTATGGCACTGTTACCACTTCGTTTGACATGACCAAACCACCGCAGACGGTGTTGCCGGCATTCGTCCTTTATATCATCTAAACCAGCACGACGCAGGATTTCGGTAAATTTGATTTGGTCCTTCAAACTAATTCGTTGCATCCATCGGAGCATTTTCATGTCGATTCGTTGAAGTTGTTGTTCCAGTTTGGCTGTCATTGGCCATGTTTCTGCACCATATAACAAAACCGGACGTATCACAGATTTATAAAGTCTTGATTGTAGTGGTAGTGGGATGTCACGCCGCATCAATATAGAGGCAAGAAGATGCCATTTATTCCAGGCTGCACGTATGCGTGCTTGAACGTCAGCTTCAGCTGTTCCAGTACAATCCAGAACATCCCCTGGATATTGAAACGATGTGACTTTCTCTATTTTAATGGCTTCAAAAACAGTGCTATTTCGAATTTGTTGTTGTGGATTGATGCAAGCAGGACAAACAAAATTGGACACATTAGATAAAGTACCAATCATTTTTGAACAACGTTTTTGACACCACTGGTTACACTGATGACACTTGATTGAATTGTTACCTACACCTGCTTTACAAACTGAACAGGGCCATCGTCCATAGCTGTGGATTGGATGGGTTCACCAGTGTTCATTGCTTTGGTTTTGCTGATGTTGACTTTGAATCCATGATCGGCGAGTCTGGTGTTCCAATCTTCAAATATCTGTGCTGCATTCTGCTCAGACGTGGCTGTTAAAACGATATCATCAGCATATGCTAGATTCCAAAAGTCACTAGTGCGTTATACTCAGAACTGAGTATCGAGCCTTGGTGAACTCCAACGCCAATGTCAAATGCATCTGTGTTTCCAACCGTTGTGTCACAGGTTGAGGTTAGCATGCGGCGCCTCATGATTTAATCTTAACTGGGTTGCCGAATTGCAAAAAAAAAAATATAAAAAGGCGATAATAGGAGAATCATTGGGTCTGAACGGCGTAGTTTAACTCTTGGTTGATAGTAGACGGTGGAACTTTGCATTTTAGTAATTATTGTTTTAATTTGGAATTAAAACGTTTGGTAGTAGGTTTGGCGGTAGGACGTTGTCAGTCAAAAGTCTAACTGGAACGTCGTTAATAGGAATAATAATGATAATTGGTGGCAGGTAGCAGTAGCGGAGTCAACAACAGCTCCAACACAACAGTGTCGTGGTGTCAGTTATTTCAACAACAACTCCAACACAACAGCGTCGTGGTAACAACCACCACAACTACAACAACCAGTTATTTCAACAACAGCTCCAACACAATAGTGTCGTAGTTTCAGTTATTTCAACAACAACTCCAACCCAACAGCGTCAGGGTAACATCCACCACAGCTACAACAACCCTTATCCAGCAACGTCGTGGCGTCAGTTATTCCAACAACAACACTCGCACAACAACGTGACAGTCTATACCGTAGTAATAAAGCACGTTTGTCACCCCAAACGACAATACACACATTAACTTAATAATTGAACAATATTTTGTTAATTTGTATTCTATTTCGATTTAATTGAATATCAATAAAGCTTATTTTCTGTTTCTACACATCAAATTTCAAGTCTTTTGATAGAAGCCGTAAAGAACCTATTACACGTTGGGCTGACAAGAATCTTAGTGTTCGTATACATTTCCATCACAAGTCGAACAAGATATTCTGGAATGAGTTGTCGACGTAGACTCCACCTGATTGCTACACGGGGAACTCGATCAAATGCTTTTTCAAGGTCTACAAAAATGTGTGATAGTTGTTGATGCTTTGCGAGGTACTTCTCTTGCAGTTGCCGAAGGATGTGAATTGCATCAATTGTTGATTTCCCCGCTAGAAAACCAAATTGATAATTTCCGATTGTGATTCACGACGTTAATCTTCTCTCAATGACTTTCTCGACAATTTTCAGGGAGTGTTCTAACAGACATATACCTCGATATGATGAACAGTTCAATGGATCACCTTTGCCTTTGTATAGCGGGACTGTCATGCTATAGTTCCATTCAGTCGGCATTGAGCAATTTCTCCACACTTCACGGCAAAATTGTAGTAACATTTGGATACCTGCAGTACCAGATGCTTTGATAATGTCATTTGTGAGTCCAGAGGGCCCTGCTGCCTTTCCATCCTTCATAGTTTTCAGAGCTTCTGCAAGCTTCTCTACAGTGATGTCTGGAATCGGACCTTCGATGGGTGGAGCGTCAAAGTTAACATTGATGGAATTTGTTTCGTTCAACAGACGGTTGAAGTATTCTCTCTACTGTAGCTTGATCTCATCTTGTTCAAGAACCATCTCATTTTTGTCGTTTGTGATACATGAGGCACCAACTATGTCTTTTTTCGTACGCTTTGCTTGTTTTGCTATACGATACAGAGATTTCATTTGTTCACCTTTGCTTTTAGTGAGCCACTCTCTGCACTGATCTGTCCGAGCCAGTGCAACTTGACGTCTTCCATAGTTGTTCTTCTCACGGAAAATTTTATGGTCATCAACAGACTGATTTTTGCCATTGCTTGTATGCAACTTTCTTTTCAGCTATTGCATTTTGTACACTGTCATTCCACCATCAAGTGTCACCATCAAGGCGACAATCTGTTGAAATTTTTCTCGATGAATATTGCTTTTCAGCTTCCATGGGTATGACTTGGTTGAACGTAGGTGCTCCAACCATTGAACGTAATGGTTCAATGGTTGGAGCACCTAGTCCAGCGTGGTGGCTATACGGTTGAATAATGGAAATAATATTTTCAAACTAGTTTTACTGGTTTTTACTGTTTCATTACATTTTACTCTTTAAAGTTATAATTCTCGTAACAAATGAGAAATAACAAAAACGCCTTAAAATCATTAATATAACAGATAACATCTAACAGGAATGTCAATGCACAATAGCAACATTAGTGATGTCAAATTTCTATGAACAAACGAACGATAGATTTAACTGATAAACGACAGAAAATATTCATAAAAAATTACTTACATTAACTATTGATTTGGCAAAGATAACAACTGTTGGATGATAATGGTACAAAAAAATATTCAATTCCCACAAACAGTCCATATCAGCCCTACAGAAAGCTGGGTTTCGATGTAGCGGATCATAGACATTTGACAACACTGCAATGGATGTTGGTTATTTGAAAAATTATTAAAAGTGCAGAACAAACAGTGTAAAGTTAAAAATTAACAAAATAACGCTAAATAACCCCTACAATTACTATTCGTCTTGTGCATCCATGACGATTTAAACGAAGTTGGTGATCTCTTATTCAAAACATTTGTTTCGACTTTTTCATAACCAGCATCCATATGTTGAACCATTGTTTCCTTACTTTCGTTATTATCGCAACTTTCATCATCATCTGTTTCCTGTTAAATTTGTGGAAATCATGTTAAAAATAATTTAAATTCCGTTTATAAATCTTAAAATTATGACGTGTTACTTCAGTTTTAGTCAGTCATATTAAGCATACATTTTAGCATATCTTCAATCACCCTTCTTACCTGGTCACAACTTTTCTTCATTTTATAATTTCTAATAATAAAAACGATACTATCCTATTAATATCATTCCTATTCTAAAGTTCTTGATCAACGTGCCTTAAAATCCGGACAAGAAAAATATTATATTGTCGTTTATATCAGTACATTAAATATCCAAAAACGTTTCTTATAACGACATAATGAGTGATTATTGATAAGAAATTTTATAAGTTGGTGACAAATATCAGCGCAGCAAATATGCATTGATTTAAACTTTACAATACCAAAATTGATAATGAAGTCTCACAAATTTTTTAAAGACAGATTTAATTTTGAATGAAATACATTTTTTGATCAAATAACAATATGCAAAAAATGCATTGAACAAAAGCGTCAATATCAATATATGGCCAAAATCGGTCCGTAGAAATGCCATGTTTTGCGCTGCGTCATGGCATGATTTGAATACTGTCTGTTCGAAACTAGAAGACCATCATACGCATACCCCAGCATAATGCGTATGTGCGTCATGTTGTGGTTGTGTGGAAATGTGCCTTCGTGGCATGAAAATTTAATTATAAGTTTAAAATAACGTGTAAGCCGCTCCGAGTTTGACATGGATGTATTATAGAAGATAAAAAAGTATTAATGTAAACCTCATTTTCTTTGCAGAATTTGAAAACAGAAGACTTTTCACTGGCTAGTTGTGACAGTAAATACAACGAACTGCAAATCATTGATGGACTCATGAATTGACACACTTGAAGCAGCCTCTTAACAAATGCCTATGAAGCATATAACATTTTTATTAGTAATTTATATGATCCAATCGTTAAGTTACGTCAAACTGTTATAAGTCAAGAATTTGTACAAAATGACTCAAAGTAATCAGTACGTTTCGTTCAAATATTAATGACATTCCTTTCACTCAATTTAATGCTAATAACCCTCATTCATTTATTATCCTTAATGTCAACAAAGATACTATCATTATACATTTAATCAATTACCATTATCAAAATTATTGCTAACCATTACTCTTATTTCAATGTGATCCTTTTTCATGCTTTTGTAAAGAATATTAAGAAACAAAGGAAGTTTGTTCGAAGTTGGCAGTTCATGGTCTAACATCTTTTTGTAGAGAGCAACATAAAAACGATCGCTTTCTTTATCACTAAAAATATAATAATATTGTTTTCAATGTAAAATAAAATCAATACAATTGTGAAAAAACGTGGTGTTGATATATTTTATGAAAAAAAAATTTTTTTAAACTAAGTTAAGATGGCTTCTTGAATGTGAAATTTTATGGTACGTTAGTAGTATCCATATGCAACGTGCAGATAAGATATGTACTCAAGCATAAGTTTGAAGACTGTAAGTCTCGTAGAAATTATTAAGCAAACAAAGAGCTAGCGAACATGTTGAAGACATGTTATCAACTTAAGATTACAACGAAAATGATACGTGAAGTGTGGAATGTCAACGTACCAATGATGTTTATGCTGCTGTTGTAGGTCAACTGAGGGAGCGCCTAGTTATTTAATTTAAATATTCAGAAATCGAGCCACGGCCACCGGATCCGCCCAAAGGTCGGCGGTGATGAGAAGGGGTGGGATTGGCAGGGCAGTTAAAAAAATGTTGGGTAGTATGGTTGGGTGAGTAACAGAGGCAGCATTGGTCGAGGATGGTATCATTTATGCGGCTGAGGTAACTATTGGGGTGAGTGGCGTGGCCACAGCAGAGCTGTGACAGGATGGTTCTTGTTTTGCGGGTTGCGATGCTTCAATTTTGTTGATAGGAGTTGGTGGCTAATGAGTATAAGGGTTAATTCATCAATTCATCAATCACTCAATCAATCATCACTCTTTAATTCATCATATCTTATACAGAAAAAATGATTTTTCTTCGGTAATCCCTTACCATATATAATGTAGAGTTATCAAATATTGGTTATATCTTATATATACTTAGTAGGAACGCACAGATATAAATATATATAAGATACAATTAATATTTGATAACATCCTACATTGAAAATGGTAAAGGATTTTCATACAGAATTACCATTATACAGATTAAGGTTTTTCTGTATAAGAAATATATATATATATATATATGACGACTATGCGCGTCAACAACATTCGGATATTGGTGTTACAACCACTTCACTATCAAGACGTCTCACAATGCATATACAATGAGGAGACATCAAATCTCATTTGCAATCAACACATGCAACTCCAATAACCAGCTAAATTCTTGACAACAACACAAAAATAATTTTATAACCGACTCCTTGAACTTGTAGGGTACAGTTATTTCTCTCTACGTGCAGTTGTCCTTCATCACGTTCTTTGGTTGGAATAGTATATTCGTAGTTTAATACTATCATTCATTTTTTTAATGATTCTTTTCATAATTTTTTCGTCCTGTTCGAAAGCGGTTGACATATGATTTTTATAATATATTATAAAAAACAACTGCACTAGTAAACCAGAAATGATAATGAATCATAGCCATCTAATATATTTGTTCGAATGTAATATTGGTGAGTGGGGGCACCATAAATCTGAATATATTAGTATGACGACGACCAAGTTATCGAGAAGACTCAGGATGCACGTACAAACCGGCGATATAAAGAATCACATAAAAGAGAAACACAAAACTAAAATTGCTAGACAAATCTTGGACCACAATGTGGAAATCTTACATTACAATAACAACCATTATAATTTACAACTAGCCGAATCAATACTCACAGAACAAAGACATCCGATAATAAATATTCAACAACGGGCAATTGGAATTCTTTCTACCAATAAATTTAGAAACAGAAGAATCATCGATAATGAAAACACGTAAAAGTGTTATATTTATCGATGATGAAAACACGTAATAAAATATATTTTACGACGTTGAAGATTGTAAAACTAAATATTCACTTTGAACAAACAAGGAATCAATAAATAGGCACAGTACAAAAATATTTGAGCATCTGGGCACAACCAAAACATATCCATTTGAACACCGAAAATGGTATAGGAATACCGAATAAAGCTTTTCTGTTCTATCATGCATGAAATAAACAAAAATTTTGGTTTTGAACAAAAGAAACATTGAAAATGTTTTACGATCAACCGTTAGAAAAATCGATAAGTTAAATTTGAAGTTAACTAACGCCGAACATGCTGTGATTTTCACCAATAATTGCATTTCTTACAGTCTTAATCCAATATATATATATATATTATTGCAGAAAATTTAATATAGTGCCAATTTAAAAGTTTTTCAAAAACGCCCTCATAAAATTCATACAAAAGTTCACAATGGAAAAAATTACTAAAACAGCAAAATAATAAACACAATTAAATCGAAAACAAGTATATTATTAAACTTTTTTTAAATTTATCAACACTCGATTCAGGTTTCATCAATGACTTTGGTAGCGCATTCCAAAGAGTCGGCCCAGCAACAGATACTGCTTCTTGCTCCTATATTCAATTGTGGCCGATTAATGGCCATCAGATTTACATCATGAGACCTCAAATGAATGTCTTTTACAACAGTTGATTTTCAGTCAAACTTCTCCATTAAATACTGAGGCAGGTATCCATTTGATGCCTTGTACATCAAGGAACATATTTTAAAAATTATTCTTTTCTGAACATTTAAACAGTAAAGATCATTTAAAATTGGTATTGCATAATCAGACTTTAAGGCAACTACAACAGTTTTAGCTGCTCTATCTATTTTAAATAGACTGAAGAATCGCAACTGATTTATCCGGAAGACCATAAAACAGGCTGTTGCAATAGTCCAATCGCGAGTGAATGAATGCATGTATCAGAGTTTGCATTGTAGACCTGTCTTACGATTTGCGAACACAATAAAACCTTTGCAAGTGGTAGGTAAACGATAAGGAAAGCATTTTAAAAAGATTCTTCATTGATAATCTTGAACCTAAAATACATCCCTGATTAGACACTTCATTACAAAATTTTATATTTTCTCCATTAACATCAATTGAATTTATATTCATTTTGAGCAGCTGTTGCCAAGTGCCGACCGGAAAAAACTGAATCTTTGATTGGTTTCATTTGAGACGATTCAATGACATACAACAACAACACACGTTTAGACGGCATTTTCCCCGAGAGATCGGGGGTTGCCGTTTGGCTACCTATGATGAAACCGAAATACCCCTCGACGCCATCCACATCTGTCACTCGCCTCAGTATCACGCAACCCCGCTTTCACCCTGTCCTTCTCCACCTGCTCTCTCCATCCCAATCGCGGACGACCCCTTCCTACCACTCCTTCAACCTCGAACTCCAACGCTCGCCTAATCCCGACCCTTTCATCCCTTCTCAACACATGTCCATACCACCGCAATCTCGATCTCCTTATCAATGTCACAATGTCCTCATTCAGTCCCATCATTGACATCAGCTCTGTACTACTCCTCCTATCCTTCACTTTAACCCCACACATCATCCTCACCATAGCTCTTTCAGTCTTCTGCAGTACACTTGCAGACGATTCAATGACATCCAGACATCAATTTTCTTCGGGCATGTAACTAAGTTATTAATTACAATCTGAATTGATTCTGACTTACTGGAAGCTATTATCTGAATGTCATCAGCATATGAATGACTAATAAGACCATATGACTGAATTATTTCCAAAACTTCAGCTGTATATAAACAAACAGAATTGGTCCTAACAGAGATCCCTGCGGCACACCACAAACTATTTTAACAACGTCTGAAAATTTGTCATTGTAAAAAACTTGATAGGTTCGGTTATAGAGATAAGCCATTTCGCACAAACACCTGTTACACCAAACAACAAGAGCAACAACACACGTTTAGACGACATTTTTCCGAGATCGGGGGTTGCCGTTTGGCTACCTAACCGAAATACCCCTCGACGCCATCCACATCTGTCACTCGCCTCAGTATCACGCAACCCCGCTTTCACCCTGTCCTTCTCCACCTGCTCTCTCCATCCCAATCGCGGACGACCCCTTCCTACCACTCCTTCAACCTCGAACTCCAACACTCGCCTAATCCCGACCCTTTCATCCCTTCTCAACACATGTCCATACCACCGCAATCTCGATCTCCTTATCAATGTCACAATGTCCTCATTCAGTCCCATCAGTGACATCAGCTCTGTACTACTTCTCCTATGCTTCACTTAAACCCCACACATCATCCTCACCATAGCTCTTTCAGCCTTCTGCAGTACACTTTCCTCTCTCCTCAACACCCAAGTTTCACCACCATATACCATCTCTGCTCTCACACATGCTTTATATACCCTCCCTTTCATCTTCACTGACCATTTCTTTCCACATAATACCCCACCCAGTTCCCTAAATTTCATCCATCCCACACGAACTCTAGCCGTAACTGCGCTCAAACATCCTCCATCCGCATTCAGCTTATCTCCTAAGTAAACAAAGCTTTCCACTCTTTCAATACCACTACTCAACCCCGTCCTCGCGTCCGTCCTATTAATCACACCATGAACACATTTCTTACATTTGAACGTGCCTTCCACCTTTTTCAGTGCCACCCTCACACCACTACATCTCTTATGCACCCATTTCTGACATCCTATACACAATACTAAGTTAGCCTTCACTCTCCTGTCATATACCCCACAGGGGTCTATTTTACTTATCACTCGCTCCCCACCTTCCCCACTCACCATTACCTTCGTCTTACCAATATTAACTTTTAACCCTTTCTTTTCAATAACACTTTTCCATCTGTCAAATTTTAACTGCAATTCTTCCATGCTATCAGCCATCAAGACTAAATCATCTGCATACAAAATCTCAAATAACAACCCCTCCATTATGTTTCCACACACAACATCCATCACAATTGCAAACAGAAACGGTGATAACACTGATCCTTGATGCACTCCTACCTTAACACTAAAAGCGTCCGACATCCCCCTTCCAACCCTCACCTTTGTCTTTGCCCCTTCA